AGATCACTGAATGGTGATTGGAGGAAACAGAAAGGAAAAAGAGAAGGAAAAAGTTCATTGATCAAATACCAGCTTTGGAAGCCAAGTACAGAGTCTTATTTAAATATCCAGCAGAAAAAGAATGTTTTTACTCAGTACTGTCAAAAAAACCCTCCAAGTTTGTTTTTTTTTTTTTAAAGTGCTTAAATCTACCAATTTTTTACATGTATTGGAGAAATAATTTTTTCTTTAGGGAAAAATATTTTAAACTATACTATCTACCATTCCAAAAATAGTTTGCTCTAGTGATAAATAAAGTAAAGCTGGTTCTTGCCTGTGACAGATCCAGATTCTGCCATCTTCATTATTCTGCTTTTAATCCTATGACAAATGTGGGGCCATCTATATAAGCTCTGACAGGTTAAGCTCACAGTGAAGTAATGACCAATGTCTGTCCTATCCCTGGAAGTGTTCCAGGCCAGGTTGGATAGGGCTTGGATCAAACTGGATGGTGTCCCTGGTCCCTGGAAGGAGGTGGAATGGGATAAGCTTTAGGGTCCCTTCCAACCCTAGCATTTAATGACACTGAGCAAAGCTGATGTATTAACTGTTTTACTTGCACTAACTTATGTTGAGTTTTTCACACTAACTGCCTAAAAGCTCAATGGCAACAAATACTCAGGATTATTAAGAGAAAAAGAACCCACATCTGTCAATCCTTGAAAGAATATGAATTGCCACTCTTCTATACATAGCATTAATCCATGCATAAGCTATCTAAGGTTCAATAATATGTTTGCCTCATGTTTTTTCACACCTTCCCTTTGACCCAAGTCAAAGAAAATATATCAGAGTTGCAAATATTTAAGCTGTTTTTGAGGATGATACCTAGACACCTTTCCTGCATTGTCAGATCAGTAACCCATACCAGGACACAGGACTGGGCTCCAGGCCCTATGCCCCAGCACAGCTCACACTCTGAGGACAAAGGAACTGGAAACTGGATAATAAACTCAAGTTGGCTTTAAGCAGCACTTCAGCTTCAGGTTGCAGCACGAGAACCATTTCTAGTAAATTAGCAGCATTTCTCAAAGCTAACCTCCAAAGCTAAGATGACACATTCTTAAATGAATATAACTGCATGACTCCGTTGACTCTGATGGCATGGGAGAAGGATGGCTGAGAAGCTCCTTCTCCATACACTTCAGACAATGTGCCAGAAAGGGATCATTATAATCTCATGAGATACATTTTGCTGTTTAAACAAACCTAGCATTAAGTAATAGAAGATAAGCAAAATGGGTAAACTGAATGTCAATTTGATATCGTAATTCTTGGTCTTCTTTATCTAGGAAAAAAAAAAAATCCTAATTTAAATTAATCCATAATAAATTTCATCTCTGCAACTTTAGGACATATTTACCTAATTTAGAAGGCTCAGCAAAATTGTATTTCCTGCTTTCATGCACAGTGTCAAGCCCGCTGTGAACATAAACCTGTCCGTAATTTGTTCAGCATCCCAGAACTAATCATTGCTTGTTAGCTGCCTCTTTCCTAGTACATGCACTAAGGCAGTCTGCCTTCAAGAGCAATTTTCCAGAGCTTTACTACAACCCAAAGAGGTTTAAAACAAAACGGGAACACACACAAGCATCAAAACATCACACAATGAATATGAAATGCAAAAGGAAACAGTAAGAGTGGCAAACATATCTTGCATCACAAAGCACAGTTGCTGCAATAAAAAATACATAGCAAAGTCACAACAGAATTATTAGACATTAGGAATTTCACACTGCAAACCCAGGCTCAATATTTATGCTATGCTAATGCTAGTGCATAATAAAATGGGTATTGCACCCACTGTGCTTCCAGAATTTGCAAGAGACTGAAAGCAGCACTGGCACTAAATCCCAGTGAAAGCTGCCTGGAAAACTGGTGCTGTGGGCTCGCTCCCTGTGGGATATCAAAATCTGTGCTATTTTGCATTCCCACCTCCATGCTTTAACCAGTGTTGGCTGTCCAGTAAGTGTGGGGTGTGGAGTGCCTGTGTGACACGTCACCACCAAGTTCTTAGAAACATCCATGGCACACTGAAAACCTTAGAAACAAAGAATGGTTTGAGATGGAAGGGACCTGAAGAGCCATGTATTACCACACACATGCCATGTTAGGGACACTTTCCCCTGTCCCAGGCTGCTGCAAGCCCTGTCCAGCCTGGCCTTGGACACTACAGGGATGCAGGGGCTGTCCCAGCTGCTCTGGGCACCCTGTGCCAGGGCCTGCCCACCCTCCCAGCCAGCAATTCCTTGCCAATATCCCAGCTGGGCCTGCCCTCTGGCACTGGCAAGCCATTGCCTGGGTGCTGGCCCTGCAGGCCTTGTCCCCAGTCCCTGGGCAGCTCTCCTGGAGCCCCTTTAGGCCCTGCCAGGGGCTCTCAGCTCTCCCTGGAGCCTGAATACTTGTGCAGGGGAGCAGCCCCAGCTCTCCCAGGCTGCCTCCAGAGCACAGGGGCTCCAGCCCTGGCAGCAGCTGCGTGGCCTCCTCTGGGCTGGCTCCAGCAGCTCCACGTCCTTGTGCTGGTGTTGCCCAGGACTGGGGCAGCTCTGCAGGTGGGGTCTCACCTGAGCACAGGGGCACAGGGGCACAATCCCCCCTCCCTTGCTGCCCACAGTGCTTTTGAACATGTTTAATCTAAACATTAATATATTTGCACATAAAATCTAGCAAAATAGTAATGAAAACTGTAATTCTTTGGTAAGTACAAAGACAGGCAGCACCATCTGTGGGTATCAGAGCATCATTAGAGACCTGCTGCTCAGGGCTAAATTTTATATTCTTTGCCAAGAATACTGGATGGGGGTGGTGATTTATACATCACCATAACTAATTATCCTCTGCCTTTAGTAATTTATAAATTCCATCTCTTCTGTAAACAGACTGATCACTGTAGTATTTAATACAGGATGGATGCATAGATTCACAGAAAAAACTTTTGGCACCTCAATTACGCTGTTGTATTTGATTCTACTTACAGACTTAGGCCAATTTCCTGAAGGTACCACTTCTCTAATCTTCCAATATTAAAACAACAGTAGAGAATGAGCCATGAAAAACTACTGCTTCTCAATTTTTACAACAGCAATTTCTATTTCAAGTCTTCTGTTCTCCTCCTGTCTCTGAATAAGATAACCTGCAATGAAAATCTGAGATTTTACAATCTCCCAGACTGATGTACTGTAATATATCTCAACTGATGCATAAGCCCCATTTCAGAAAGTGGTAACAGTAAAAAATTTCTCCCTCAGTTTTGGTACAGGGAATAACTGGATGAATGTTTTTCTCTAAAACTTCACAAGCTTTGTTACATGAAAACACAGTGTTATCAGTGCTTATTTTCATTCACAGAACACCTGAAAGATGCAACGGAGAAGCACTCAGTCTTCCAAGGATCATTTTGTCAGCTTAATGTGTAGTGCTGCTGCTGTACAGAATTACCAAAATTTCATAGAAACAAGCTGGGAGAATTACACTATTTCTTTTACATTTTCAGGATATCATTCCTACATATAAAACATTACATCTTAAAAAAGCTTGTAGTGTAGACTGCACTTATTATTATTATTCATTTTTAAATAAGCCTTTGAAATCTCAGGCTTTTTGACTACTTTAATACCATATCCCTGTTCCAAATTAATCTGGAGAATGCCCCTGGGACAGCTAGATTTTCATCTCCTGTTGAGATCTTCAGAGTAATTCTCCATCATTATATACTACTATAAATTTTTTCTTTTGTACAAAAAGAGCTATTTCAGCTTGCATGCCGTATTTTCTTCCCCTGACAATCAAGCTGGTTTTACTTATGTTTACTGTGTGGTCTCTTGCTATTGTATGCTGGCTTAGCTGGGAAGCTGCATTTCCACTCTGGATGCTTTCCATGTTCTGATCAGTTTTGTCACGCAATTTTTTCCTTGTTTTCCCAAAGCTTCTAGGATCTAGGTTAATATATTTAATTATCCACAGCATCAACAATGAAATAGTAAAACTTAAATTTTTACTTGGAGTAAACAGCTAAGAGAAATCCTTTGGGTATGGCAAGTAGGACTGACTTTAAATTCTGTCTTTTTATGGTTTCTGTAAAGCATCTATAATTCTCTACCACAAACAAGAATTTCGGGCTGATGGAACTTCATCATTCTTATTCTGTATAATTAAAAGTGATCAGGCATACAAAAAAAAGAGAGATCTTTCTTAATTGTCCCAAGTAACAACCAACAGAAGAGGAAATTGACTCAACTTGTATCAGGGGTGGTTTAGGTTGGGTATCACGAAAAATTTCTTAACCCTGAGGGTGGTCAGGCATTGTCACCGCTGCCAAGGGCAGTGATGGAGTCCCCAGCCCTGGAGGGATTTAGAAGCCGTGTGGATGTGGCACTTGGGGACGTGGATCAGTGGTGGCCTGAGCAGTGCTGGGAAATGGCTGGACTCAATGGTCTTGGAGGGTTTTTCCAGCACAAACAATCCTGTGATTAACTGCCATGAAAACTCCCTGAACTTGAGGGAAAAGCTCTATAATTCCTATTCTTGAAAAGCAAATTATATAGACAACATCACAAATAAAACAATGATTGTCAAGGAAGTATTAGATACTTGCGTGTGAGAGAACTTAAATCTCTGCACAATTCCAAACAAACTATGCAACTGCAGTGGAAGTTTTGTGAATCATGGCTCATGTTCTTATGTCAAGGCTTTGGAAATGGATTAAAATACTGTAACATAAAAGCATTTAAAGCTTCCAAAGGCCAAAGAATTTGTATTCTAAATTTAAAAAGATAAAGATACATCCAAATCATTACTGGACTCCCATTTCTAACAGACTTTTTAGAATATACATCAAGGATGCCATAAAGACACAAACCATCCCCTTAGAAATTAAAATTATTCATCGGTTAACTGAAAACATGCACAGATCAGTCACAGGGCATGCAGCATGCAGTAAATGGAGAGCAGAGGTTAATAACCTGGAAGCATAGGATCTGAGAATGTGAGAACAAGTTAAAGACAAGAGTTCCTCTCCATTGTCACTGAGGGTCGAGAAGCAATGCTGCAGCGTAGAGCAGTGGGAGTGGGGGAAATACAGTTTGTCCAAGACATACACATATCTCCGCAAGTGGCGGCAGGTATAACTGAAAGACAAGGGTAGAGGGAGACAAAACAGAAAAAAGAGGTGTTTTCCTTTAAGAAAGCTAAGTCATGGTTTAACATCCCTGGCTTTTGTGCCAAGAGTGAAAGGAAGATGCCAAGAAAGCAACGGAGCGGTATGACATAAAAACAGTTTCAAGAAGTAGAGGGATCTGTTTGCCACTGTGCCCACACGCTGCTTCTGTCGTTGCTGCACGGGGAATTTGCCAAGTCTCACGCATTAGACACAAGAATTTGGGCTTCTTTTGGGTGTGTGTGTGTGTATGTGTGTGTGATTTATCTCCCTCCTCCCTCCCAAAAGTTATAAATGCAGGAGACTGGCCCCTGGTTTACAAAGGTTAACTTTAAAAAAACCTAAGAATTTTCACAAAATTTAACCGCCTTTCATGACAGCTGACTTAAAGAGAAAAAAATTACATAGAATTATTGCCCAGTGTGAACTGCTCCTGCAGCCTGAGATTTCAGTGATAGAGCATTCCTGTGTTTAATTATACTTGCTCAAATGTGACACTTAATCATAACAGAGTTACTCAATTAAGACCTGGCCAGCTTTTCCACGAAGAACTACAATCACTTCTATGAAGTAACTATAGAGCAAGCAATAAAACATTTAAAATTGATATTAAGCAACCCTGAATGCACCTGAGTAAGAGATATAATGCCTTTGCCTATGCACAGGATATCCTCCCACTCATAATGAAAGGGAAAATAAATTCATTAGCGTAGTTCACCTGCAACAAACTGCATCACTGGAAAACTGAGGCAAATAGAAAATATAACCTCAAACACCTTTTATTATAGGGTTTGCATAGAAAATACTTCACTGCATAATGGTGCACAGCCCAGGGTGTGCCAAGTATGATGTGATGTGATGATATAACTCAGTGATCTGACAGCTGGACTTGGTAATCCTGGAGATCTTTTCCAACCTTAATGATTCTATGATTCTGAGTTGTCCAGAAAGTGCTCTACCCAGCCTAATATACTGTGAGATAAAAAAAATCACCTCATGATGGTCCTACCAGACTCTCCTGTCCTCATCTGCAGCCAGGGGACATGGCTTTCTCCAGGACAGACATATGGAGACCCATGGAGTGCTAAACTGGGAAAGTTTCCCATGGAGATTTATGAAATCAAGTCTCTTTTGCTGACTTTGGCAAGAATCAACAACACCTGAACTCTAGGCTCCAGCATTCTCATCAAATCAAAAAACCCCATTGTTTCATGGTTTCATACATGGAAAATTGGCCCAGGGGTTGTACACCCAACCATGTGCATTTCACAGGCTAGCGTCTCTCCAAATCCCTACCTGACATAGTCACACGTGGCTGACACACTCTTTACTGAGACAAAATCATTTGTGTATCTCAGGCAAAAAACAGGACAATAAAGAGTGCCACCAAAAGCTAATCAGCACATTCAGTGGGACTCTAAGCCAAAGACTGTATCAAAATCAACACCACCCTCTGCTTTGCTTTAAACAACACTCATTACTGGGTTAAATCAGTCCTACCTTTGCTCTGGAAGTTGAAGAACACAAAATCCCTTTTTGGGACTTCATTTGCAGATATGATAATTTTCAGTAGCTGAAGCAGCTTCAAGGACGCAATTTCCTAAGCTTTCATGCCTTTTCTGCTTTCCTGACCATAGCATGTTGTGAGAAAGGCAGGCTATTCTATTCACTCCGTAGGCCACAAAAAGAGAAGATAAAGGATTTACAGGGTCCCATACTAAAGGAAACCCTCAACCCACAAGCCTGCCCTTCCAGCTTCCTTCCAGGACCCAGAGAGGCCACATATTTTTTCCAAAACCAGAACAAAGAGTGTAATTTAGAATGATGATCCTTTGAAGATTTAAATGGTTCTAAGTCCACTGTTACCATTTACTATATTTAACCAGGCCTCTTACTAGAAAACTCCTTTCAGCCATTCTATCTTGTTAGATTTATCAAGAAATTTAATGAATCTTCCATTACAGAATTCCAGGATGGTTTCAGTTGAAAGGGACATTGAAGCTCATCCCAATCCACCCCCTGCCATGGCAGGGACACCTTCCATTAGAGCGGGGGGTCCAAGCCCTGTCCAGCCTGGCCTTGGACACTGCAGGGATGCAGGGGCAGCCCCAGCTGCTCTGGGCACCCTGTGCCAGGGCCTGCCCACCCTCCCAGCCAGCAATTCCTTGCCAATATCCCAGCTGGGCCTGCCCTCTGGCACTGGCAAGCCATTGCCTGGGTGCTGGCCCTGCAGGCCTTGTCCCCAGTCCCTGGGCAGCTCTCCTGGAGCCCCTTTAGGCCCTGCCAGGGGCTCTCAGCTCTCCCTGGAGCCTGAATACTTGTGCAGGGGAGCAGCCCCAGCTCTCCCAGGCTGCCTCCACAAGCAAAATGACAGCAACTGCCTTTGAGCCCTGTCAACATTCTCCATAGATGGGAAGCACAAGACTTGATCCTGTACTCACCATCCCCATATTTGGCCTGAACTGACCAACTGGGTGAGGCCACAGCATGTGGTGGAAGAGGAGAAGTTTCCCCAAAACATTGCCCAGAGATTCTGGAGACACAGTGTGACACAGTGCCAGCAGCACTCCCCTCCATGGTCATTCCTATTTTCAAAGTTGAACTTGTCCACCGAGAAGTCTGATGTTAAACCCAAACCAAGAACAATGCAATCTTCTAACTCCATGGCTGTTCATAGCCACTTTGACCAGCAGAACTCACATCATAATGAAGACTAAGCACTTCTGTTATTAAATCCTCTAATGTAAATCAGAATAAAATCAAGGCTTGAGAGCAGATTTCCTTTAAGACCATGTACATTAAGAAACATTAATATCAATTTTCACTGACTACTTGTGAGTTTGAAATAAGCTTATTTGATACACCAGAAATGAGGCTTCTAGCTTATCTACTTCTACATTTTACTGACATTTTTGCTTTCTGCATGTTGTATGGGGCACATTTCTTTTATTTCATAGCAAAAGGTGAGTTTCAACAACAATGTAGTACTCACATTTTTGAAAAAGCACTACTGCAAAAAATAAAGACAATCTGATTAATGGTGTGTGTTTGGTATTCAGGTATCCTGTTTACCTGGAGGACAAAACTGTAGCTTACACTGTACTAAAATCCCACTTCAAAAGACCATAGTCCCCTCATAAATAAATAATAAAAAGCCATCTGATCACATTATGAATTCTGATACAACAACATGACAGTGTCCATTTCTAAAAGCTAAAAGATAGAGTGCCTTGTTACAAAATTCTGTCAGGAAATTAGGGTGGACTTGAGTTATCCCAATCAAAAAAAAGTAACTATTCATACATAACAGTAAGCTATCACTCTCTTTATGGTAATGAAAATAATAAAACTCCTCTCTTCTCACTACACAAAAATACACAGCGTCATTCAAGAGAAGTTTAAATTTATGAAAAAAATTCCACATGTTCTGTTAAAACTTCAAGTTATTAATGTTCTTTGTCTTTAACAGCCATGAAAGCCACAGAATCCAAAACTTTCAGATCCAAAGCAACAGAGGTCAGCATCAGTATTTTGGAGACTAAAGTGCCAGGATCCGTTCTGTCTGGTAGTTCCCCATATCTCTCATACTGGATCAGCTCAGACCTGTGATTACAGAATATCAGCTGGATGGAAATGTAAACATGGAAACCCAATAACATCCTTAGGATAAGAGATGATGCTCAAAACTGACAGGTATCATGACAAAGCACCAAATTCAGTCTTGTAGCATTTATAAGGCGCCAAGGATTTAATTCCATAGGTATTTTTACAGGTTTCTTGTTTGTTTTTCACTTTCTCTACTAAACACTGAGGGTGGAGAATTAAAAGATAAAATTTGAACAAAACACCAAAACCACCAGAAAAAAATGCTCACTTGCTTACCATCTATAATGTGGATTTTGGAATAAAAATATACCAAAAAGTAATTCAATACTGTAAGAGACAGCACAGAGAACCTGACATCTGTGAAGAAGCCTGTAAACTACCTGCCACCCGAGAATTTTTTCTACTCATGTTTCTGGCACCCATTAGTGACTCCTTCCCTGATCCTGGCACTGTCTAATCTTGCCCAGCAGCTGGTATAAATTGAGAGGGCAGGGAGGAAGATGCAGTATTGACTTGGCAAATGAAAAAGAGAGAAAAGGAAAAAAAAAGAAAAGGAAAAAAACCCCAAACAAACCTCATCAGTCATCCATACCAACCTTCTAGAACAATTTAAAAAAAAAAATTGAATTTGGTCAAAGGGATAATTGGTCCTGCTTTTAACTGTCCCCAAATTCTGAGCTGTCCTTTCCTCTCCCACCCTGCAAGGGCAGCCTGTTCTCATGAAGGGGTGAATGCCTTCAACTGACTGCTGTGAGAATACTCTCAGCCATTTATCCCAATCCTCCATAATTCTGGAGCTCTGGTCCTCTGCCTGAGAACTTTTTAAATTGTCTGAACCAGAAGTAGTTAAAATGAAGGCTGAGACCCTCCACTGTACCTCACTGCTCACTGCCTGACACCCAGGCGCATGTAGGGGAAACAAGTAATTTCTACACATATATAAAAATTAACCCAGGATATCTACATTTATTTGTAATTAAATGCAGATTTGATAAATGCAAAGAAAAGTTTTCTTTCCTTTTTCTTATCCCAACCAGAAAAGGTATTCTGATGACAGCAGTTAAACAAGGGCATGAAAGATAACACTTTAAGATCTACGGGAGTTTGATGTGGAGAGCCAGAGGGAGGGTGGAGGCTTCCATGTGAAGAGAATATTTTCAGTAGGAAGGGGCCTACTACAATTTTCTAGTCCAACTGCCTGGCCAATTCAGAGATGACCAAGTTAAAGCATGCTAAAGCACTGGCACAGGGTACCCAGAGAAACTGTGACTGCCCCTGGATGCCTGGAAATGTCCAAGGCCAGGATCAATGGGGCTTGGATCAACGTGGGATAGTGGAAAGTGTCCCTGCCCATGGCAGGGGGTT